CTTCATTAGAAGAATGTAAACTATACAGAAAACCTCAAATAGCATAAGCAGCTGCGCTATAACAAAATCAACACAATTTTTTTACATCACAAAAAATGCGTGTGTATGTGCATACTGGTCAAACGAATTTGTTTTGGTTCCAAATATTCGCGCAACTCTACACAAGGGTAATTTGTGCTAACCGTATTTAATTTTGAACTGATGGACTAGAGTGGAGGCAGCTCACCTAATCAAAAGTACTCACCTCCAATTCTAGGACTACTATTGTCTGATCAAATAGTGTATTTAACTGTCACTCTTATAGCGCACCCACAGCTCCAAAGTGCTGCACGCCAACCCGGCCTGCTCCAAAGAGAAGCCTGACTTTTTAAAATAGGAAATTATATTTCTTTTGAATTAATATACTAGTTTAAAAATATTGAAAGTAGTTTTATTAACCCATTGTGTAGATTTGTACTTAATTTCAAACAACAACCTAATTGAAAACTTACGAAATCAATATTCACCGTTCAGTTAAAACATAGCTACAACACGTTTCAATAACGTTCACCAAGGTTTAGCTACAACACAATATTAATAGTATTCACCAAAGCTTAAACGTAGTAAGTGTCAATAGTTTTCACGAACAAGGGTGTTATGCTGCCAGAGCACATAGAAGTCGAGTCACAACACTTCAAAAACTGAAATGACCAGATTCTCACAAAAGGTTATAAAATAAACTGCCTAATGGTTAGTTGAAATGGAAACCTCACAGAGAGATATAATATAAATGACTGGCAACAATTTCTTAGCCAATAGAAGTAAAGAAAGCTTGTTTTCGAAAGCCCTGTGTAGTTAATAGATTTAAAATATTGCACGTTTAACAGTTGGTTAGCAAGTAGTTTACGTACCACGTTATTTTTTACTATTTGTTAATCTCTCGTACACCATGAACAACTATAATATTACTTTCAAAACGTTTCAGTCTTCAGTCACTCTCCTTTTAAATCGAGTTTAAAATGGCTTATCAAATAAAGATAAAAAGTTAAACAAGTCAATGCAAAAAAAGCGTCGAAAAGCCATGCTCTTCTTAGTTTAATCAATAAATATTGTGTTAAAGAGGTCAACATTCACAGGCGAATGCAACGTGTCTCAGCCACGTAATCCTAACATGGATAATTTTAACACCAGAAAAATCAAAATCTGTCTATATTACTGCTTGGGACCTGTATAGAGTATCTTTGTACTAAATCCCAGATAAGTTGGTCGAAATATGGCTAACTAATTGACCAAAACTCCTAACATTATGGCTGTATTTAATCTTTGCCCCCCCCCCTAAAACGGGCATATTACATATTTTGGTCACAATATGGCCTCAAATTATGCCTTTTTTCTCTGACCCCCTAAAAAGACTGAAAATGAGCAAATCAAACTATATTGTATGTCAATATCTTTTGTGTATGGAAATTTATAATTGTGCCAATTTATATCTTGATTGCTGTAAATATGACCGCACAGGAGCCCAAAATATACATGTTTGGGTTGTTGGACCTTTGACCCCATAAAATCCTTAGAAAAACATTAAAAATATCAAAAACGTGTGTAAGTGTATTGGACCAATGTATAACTCTACCAACTTTCAAGTCAATCCGCCGAGAAACGAAGGAATGGCGGTTGATTGAAAAGTGTTTGGAAGAAGAAACA